TCCTACCATTTAAAGGTAATTTTGTATGTGGCCAAAATAACTCAAAATACCGTGACTGAGCTACTTTAAGATCTAAAACAGAAACATTGTCGTTAAAAGATAACCATTCACAAACGAGCACGTTTACTATATACCTTTCCATCAGGATGCATTATTTCTCGAGGATCTTGTCTCGTTGTTCTCTCATTTAAACTGACGCTTTCTCTTGGGTCACTTTGATCATTTTTCTCTTCATCCTGGAAATGGACGTTTCTTTTTAGTTTTTCACTGCTGTCCGGAGTCTTGCTTCTACGTCGTGGGCTGCCAAATATAAAGCGGAGAATTAGCAAAGGAGATAAGCATCTTTTAGAGCGAAAATTAAGCTGAGTAAACTGACTTTTGGTAAGCTCAATTCTTCCACCGCTCGACGGACGTGTGGGATTGGGCAATAAACATTCCATGCCGCTGACGTAACTCTTCAAAGATGTTTCTGATTGGCTGATGCCCGGTTTTGAATTCCACGTCATCTCTGTAAAAGACTACGTCATCACGAAATGTCTCTTACGCGGGAAAAGAAATGAATAATCAAGGAGACGTCGGTTTTTATGCTACAAACTTTAGCACACTGACCTTCGTTTAGATTTCCGGATTTCCTGTGTGATATCTTCTTGAGACTTGGCCATAGAGCTTATTTGAGAGTTCTCTTCGTTTGATTTAGAAAGGATATCGGTTGAAGCGTCTTCCTCTTGATGAGGCGTCCTGGCTTGATTGTTGTTTGCATCAATGCTGGCAACGAGAGGCCTAAAACAGAGTTAGCATAAAAGTACTTTATGACTGGTCTGTTCACAAGCTCGGAAACTGTTATCAAACATGGAGTAGAGGTACTTTGCGTACGTAAACTATTTAGTCCATAATCCTAAACCACACCCATGACCCTTTCATTAAGGTACAGACAGCAATAGTAATTTTTAGTGGAAGACGAGGCGTCACCTGTTCCCAGGATCAACGGTAGCATTTTCCGGAGTCGAACTGGGGACTGCTTCAACCAAAGCTGGTCTCAAGGGAGGTGATCGGTGACGCAGTGGAAGCCTGGGTCCTGATTCTACGAAAAAAAATGAAACAGCTGGTTTTCAAAATGCATCTAAACAGATGGCAAGGTATCAAGTTAGAGAGTTTCTTTTACGTCAATGACCGGTTAATTATCACGCCTAGTTAAGTGTAATAGTGCTCTAGTAGAGAAACCTGATCACGTGCATATATAGGACCAATAAAAAAACCCCAAACGTGAAACCCACCAATCAATGAGCACAATTCGAAGGTGTGTTGCTTCAGTTGCAGGTAAGCGGCGCGAAAGTCGACCTCTGTACGGTACAAATTGCGTCCAAAATTTTCTTTCTGAAGGGAGGGGGTTTGGGGAGAGAGACGCTTCTTATGCTAAATGGCGTTACCTTCTTCAGTTGTCTTGGCAGTCTTTCGTTGTAAAGGTTTTTTCGGTCTTGAGTCCATTTCTTCTTTTATCTGCTGACAGAGAAATAGTTCTTTAAAACTGTCGATGCCAGGTACTTTCGTATTCAAAGACCTACGCTGTTACGTAACTCGGTATTAACAGTTCTAATTCTACCTTGGCCTGTTCATCTTCTCTCCACTGTTGCAGTCGATAGTGCTCTAACAGCTTCACTTCCTCTTGAAGTTCTTTGTTTTGTTGTTCCAGAGCCTCGATCCTCTGTCGGTTACGCGTCGACGCCGCTGACCAACGTGACTCACGCTGCTTAAGTTCTTCCCGTAACTCAACTACCTAACAAGAGCAGATCAAACGAATGTTATGGTATTACGCAACTTTATCAATTCTGAAACGAATTGTCTCTAAGTACAGCAAGATCCAGCTCCATAAATTCACTTTCAAACAGAGACGTGCCCGTTTACAGTTGACTATACTGTTGTTGGTCTTTGAAACTAAGGAAACTTAAACACATGTGATATCCTTAAATTTGGTCCGGTCGAACCTTTGGCATCAATTGCCAATTTTGTCCTTTCACAAAGACAACAGCACGTTAGTTTTACACAAAAACTTTGGTTGAATTCCTAGTATGACTTTCACTTTCAGAAGAGGGACAGAAAGAGGCAAGGTGGAGCTCATGGGAGGAAGCGAGGACGACCATAGCAGATCGAGAAAAGTGGAGGACCTCTGTAAAGTTCTATGTGCCACTAGGCACGAGGAAGATCGGTAACAGGTAACATGACTTTGGCTTTATTTACCTGTCCACGCAAGCTCTCGATTTCATCGCGTTCCTTCTTGTCTGGCATTGAACGGGCGGCTTTTTGGTATTTTTCAAACACTCTTCGTTCACGGCTAAAAAGTAAAAGTTGGAGATTTCATTTTGAGACATTTTCAGACTTGAGAGATTCTTAGTCATTAAGCCCTCAACCTGAACGACAACAACTTCGGACGCACCATAAAATCAAAAATACCTGGAATGCATATCGAACATTTTTTTAAAATAACAACAACAATAATAACATCAACACATACCGTAGCTTTCGAAGTTCTTCTTCTCTGAACTGTTCTAATCGTTCAAGTTCCTCTGTTTTCTGTTTCTCAAATGCGGCAATCTCAGTTTGAAGTTTTTTTAAGCCCTGCAGAAAAAAAACAAACAGTAACTGTTAATACAAAGTGCAACGGCAACAAATTCACACACTGTGTGAATTTGTTGCCGTCACAACAAAAGGGTTGATATGGTATACACAATTCTGGGATTTAAGCAAGCTCAAATGTCTCCAAGAAGGCCTCAAGCAAACAGTGGTATAAAGTAAGAAAAAAATGTTAATTCACTCGTAAACGCTTTAGCTGATAAAGAATTAAAATAACGGTGATCCAAATGGTTCATTGGGCAGCGTGGCACAGTGTAACTAGTTCAAAAGTTATAGCAATAGTACTAAAAAGTCAAATATTTCGCATACGTTTCGAGTCTGGCCCTTCTTCAGCACTAAGTTTTGAATCATTCCAAGCCCGAAACGTATGCTAAATATTTGACTTTTTAGCACAATTTAATTTACAATTAATTTTAGAACTTATCACCAATTTAATTCTCTTCTAAGATGTACTTTATTTGTTTGCTAATGACTTATTTTTTCTGCTCGTCTTAACAGAGTAACAAAGCGTTTCCTAATGTCTCACCTCTTCTCTTTCAGTTCTCATCTTGGCCAAAGCTGCGTTTTCGGTTCTAAACTTGTCAATCTCAGTTTCCAGTTCTTTGAGTTTTTCCCTCACTGCCATACTCTGGATTGTATCTACAGACTCTTCCTTCTTCTCTTTTCCGGTTTGGGTCTTAGGAATTTCGTTGTCTGCCTGTTTACTAGGAGGCTGCTGTAGTGAGACAGGCAACAAAGGTTTGTACAACTGACACAAGATTACACGCCCAAAGTTAAACAGCCGGGCTACAGACCTTATCAAAGATAGAATAGTTTTATTGTCAAAAGCTTGTCCATGGTCTCTTGTTGGAAGTGAGAAAGCAGAAGAATACCAGCGTAAAACCTCGAAGAGAACCGGTTCCAAGCTTTTCGTGTAACCTGACTCGCATCGTTGCGACACCATAATTGTTGCACCAAAAATTGCGAAGCGCCACATCTTGCAATCAACATGTCCCGAAATTTCCTCACAGAAGAGTAACCTACGGTTTACAACAATTGTTTCAAGGCTGCAAAGCATTTTTACGTAGAACTTGTCGCAAATTGTCTCACAACGGGCCAATGGCACAACGAAAATTGCAAGGCATTTAGCAAGAAGCTTGGTTTATTGTAACAGCACCTCTAGTCACCAGGAATAGCTATGACTATTTCAATACTTACAGTAACTTTTTGCTTTGGTTTCATCTGTGGAAACAGCTTGGTAACCAGGGCAGATGTTGGTGGTGTTGACGCTACCAAACCATCACCTTCGCTGCCGTCAGCCTCTGAGTTCCATTGGCGCCGACCACCCTTCATATGTGCAGGCGGGGTGGAGGTTACAAGAGGGAAGATGTCACTGATTGTTACATCGCTGTCATCGTCATCAGAATCCGAATCATCTTCCATGTTTTTCTTCATAATCTCAGTGCCTGTACCTGCTTGCTTCTTTATTGCACCCCAGGCCTCCTCGTCATCGAAGTCATCCTCGATCGCAAGTGATGAAGATGGATCAAGGTACAAAGGAACTAGGACTATTTAAAAACAACATCATGGAAAGAACCCAATGTTGATTAGGGGGTCCAGAACAGTTCAGAAGTCTATCTAACTAAAGGGAATTTCGTGAAAACTTAACTCTGTTATCTTGGAGAGGCAACATCTTGAGAGATTTAAAGTGCCACTATGATGAAATTCTCGATATCCAATTCTTTACATTTTCGTACACATTAGGTCTTTCCTAGATATCTTGCCAAATTTCAATTTTCTACGAACATTAAAACTCGTGGTTTATGAACCTTAATTTCCGAGAATTTACGGCCGCCATTAATTTTCCTTGTTCCAAGTCTTGGTTGAAAATTTGAGAAAATGACGTCATTTTCTCAAAAATACCGCACGGGTTGAAATTATGATAACTATTAATGTAAAAAATTGCACGAATATATGAGCCAAAGTTTTTGTTATTCTTTATGCGATTTGCTGTGCTAATTGTTATTATAATTTCACCCGTGTGGTATTTTTGAGAAAATGACGTCATATTCTCAAATTCTCAACCAAGACTTGGAACAAGGAAAATTAATGGCGGCCGTAAATTCTCGGAAAGAAAGGTCCAACCAACATGAGTTCTAATGTTCGTAATAGATTGAAATTTGGCAAAAAATTTAGGAAAGACCTATTGTGTGCGAAAATGTAACAAAATGGATATGGAGAATTTGATCATAGTGGCACTTTAATTGTCAATTTTGTCATTATTTTGTCGAAATCGAGTCAGTTAATTTTCGTGATTTCATCGCACAAAGAAAAAAAGCAACTAAAGAAGACTAGAAACTAAAGCAAGCAAATTGCTGTGCATGGATAGATTGACTTTGCAGCAGCCAGTGAATGGACAGTTCCGATGAACTGAATAAAAAATGTAATGAGGGATAAAAAGGTGATATTTCATGTTACAGGATATGCACTGACAAGTAACCTTTGCACATACCGGTTTATGAAATTTGCAGACCGTAGACTGCACACTGCAGCAGTCTTCAGTCTGCAAATGTCACACACCCCTCGCATACTAATCCTCATAGCACCTTTACTCATGAGAGGCATCTGAGTGTCAATCTCTGTAGTGTCCCAGACTAGCTGTTACGTGCGCGTGAAGAATGATCATTAAATGCCAGCAGAGCTGCTGTCTCTGTGATTGGTTGCAAGCAATAACGGTACACCGACTCGTATAGAACTTCGTCATCGATCCTCTTCAAGCTAAGTAGCACATAACTCAGATGCCTCCCTCGAGAGTGGAAAGAATTTAGAAGCGAGACGTGCTTTACTCAAGCTATCAAATATGTCACTAAAATCAAGTAGAACCTTTGTACTGCTCTCCAGTTGTTTGCCTTTTGTCATCCTGACCTTCATCAAGTTCTAAAGCACCGTCCAAACTCATCTCCTGTAGTGTAATGTCACTGCCCTCATCTTCGCTTTCTGTGTTGGAGAACAAAGAGAGATACAAGGAAGAACACCAGTTGTAACTAAGAATGTATTTTCATTTTGTATGTATGTATGAAACACGCTAAAACGCTTTTATTCATTCACCGCATACGGTATCAATACATTGCTAAAGAGAGAGATTATCAGAGGAAATAAGGAGATCAACAACTTAAACTCGGTTTGTCTGCAAAACCCGGTGACCTGACACAACTTAAATCGAAAACAAAGAAAACTTTCATGAACTTTCTGCAAAACGCGGAGGTTGTCTTCGTAAGGATTGAGATTTCTTCTGAAAATGGAAGCCACTTAATTGTAAAACCATGCAGCCTGCTGTTGTTTCACCACAATTTTAATCCTGCAAACACATTTTAAGCACTCTGCATCTCAAACATGAAACATTTACCATTCTCCTGTAGTTCATTCATGCTACTCTCCATAACTGTGTATCCAGGATCATCAACTGATAAAGCTACTTTACCATCTCCACTGCCATAACCTGTATCAACAGGACTCAGAATTCCTCCTGGACCTGCAAAGCAGACATTGAAGGTTAACTTAGCATTTCTGGCCAATACAGGAGTGAATGTAGAGGAAGGCGTACACAGCACAAGTTGCTGTAGGTGGTGGCATTACACTAAGTGAGCACTCTTAGCGAGGAAAATGTGGTACACTTGGCCCCAGTTGTTTGAAGGCTTGACATCGCTATCCACCAGATAAATCGCTATCCAGTGGATAAGTGTTAACAAAACAAACCACGCTATCCACTGGATAGTGACTTATCCGGTGGATAGTGTTACTAGTATCCACCTTTTGAACAACCCAGGCCTGCTGTAAGAGCATGTAGAGTAAATACTATAATATACAGAAACAGAAATGTCTAGCTTTGACTTAAAATGTGAAATCTGAAATGTGTACCTCTGCTATCAACACTTTGTCCACTGCTAACTTTTTTACTGTCCGGCACATTTCCTCGAGCTTTAGCCAACACTTTGACCACCACAGAGGAGTTAGATGAGAAGGAGGCATTTGCAGCAGCTTGCTCTAAAAGCTCAAATTCTTCCAGCTCTTCTTCTTCCAACTGGATGGGAAAATATCAAGGTGCACATCTCTCAGTCACAACTTACAGAAATTCATAGAGCACATAAATGTTATTCCTATCATCTGATACTTTTACTTTGAATGTGTCAGTAAGAGAAAATTTAATGTAAGCCATGGTCCAGTGTGCACACCAAGTAATGCCTCATAATCCTGAGTTAGTGGATTTTGCAGTCTGTCTAGAGTATTCTGTCCTTTGCAACTTAAAAGTCGCTATGTGAGAGTGACCTACAGGCATAGGTACAGCTTGCCCTAAAGAAAAATTGACTTCTTTGCACAGTGTAGTCTAAAGAGTGACATTTTCCACTTGCAATTAAGGGGGCAAAACATTACCTTATGTTCAGCTTTATGCAATATTATCACTCAATGTCAAAATTAACATACTGTTTTGATACTGGCAGTTTGAAAAATCTGTCACACAGGTCACAGGTGGAAAAACTGTCTGATGTTCACCAGTCTGACTCTGCGGGACTTCTCAGTTGTTTTGAACAGGGTTGCTTTATTGATATTTATTCTGTACCTCTTGTTTTTCCTCCAACTCTCTTAATCTCATTTGAAATGAGGCATCAATACTATTGAGCAAACCAGGTGGATCACTCTCCTCAGTTCTATTGGATAAGGTGCAAACAAAATACAGTTTAAATACAAACCAAATATGTGTGCTGGAGTAAGTTTTACTTCCAGATTGTAAAAAATTGTGTCTAAATAAAAGTTCTAAGGCTAAGTTAGATTTGAGACAAATTCTGGTGAGTGCTGTCTCTCCTTGATGTTGGGCAGTCTGAGGGTTCTCCAGGGAGTACCCAGGGTGGCCAGGATGTCTTGGGTGGTGAGGGTGGTGGGGTGGCAAGGGTGGTGAAGGTGGTGAAGGTGGCAAGGGTGGCAAAGATATTAGTTTTTAGAATTAATGACTTTGAATTTCAGTTTTAACAGCCAATGTTAACACTGTTCTGTAGCACGCTAGCTTACAACAGTTTTAAACCTATGGTCAATTGGCAGTTGATGTTACCTTGGTTTCATTATCATAAGTTTGGAGGCTGTTGTTTGGGCTTCTGAAGTAGCTACTTTGGTTTTTGGGGCATTAGAGACTTGGAATTGCTGTGGCTTCCTCAATGTGTTTGCTTGAGTTGCTGCTGTCACGACCTGAGGACTCCGAGATGCCACCTTTCGAGTTACCTGTGAAAGATTAAGCCAATCAGAAAAAGTGTTTGAAGCTAAAAAGTGTCTTAAGCTAGTCTTTAAACTCTTTAAACTATGTCCTGTCTGTTTTTCATTCTCCCTGAATTTAGTCCCTGAAAAAAACCATGTTTACCATAAAAACAACAATTGTTTTTGGTCCCCACAAGGTTTTTCTTTTCAATAATCAGTAAATGTATTTCACACCAGAGACGGATGGTCTCTGAACTTATGAGAAGTTCAACTTACCCTGGTCTGTGCCACAAGACCTCCACCGGTCACAATTTGTTTATCATTTCCTTGAGATGAATTACCCACAGCATTACCAGTCTTCTTTTCCTTCCTCTGCTGTACAGATGCAAACTGGCCAGCGGATTCCTGACTCTGAGCTCCTGTCTTATTTGAAGCTGATTTTCCTTTAAATCTTGCAAGTCCTTGGCCTTTTCTTAGAAATGTTCTCTGAGGCTTTTGACTTGCATTTTGGGTGTTTGTGTCTGCTTTGGAAGCCTTGATCAGATCACAATATAACAATTTGAATACCATTAGGCTTATAAAATTTCCTCAAACTCATTAACAATTTGTCAACTTTAAACAAAGGACATCATGACTGTGACGATGTTTGGATTTCTGATCTTAAATAGCATGGATTCTACAATTTTATTTCTCTGTTTTCTCCTTAGTTTTAGTTTCAACTGAGAGGATACATGTATATCAAGCATGAAAGACAGTGTTTGAACACATTTCCAAACACCTCAAAGATCATCGTTTTGTCAACTCTCTTTTTGGTGTTTGGAATTGTGGCCAAACTCAATTTTTTGGGTTTGATATATTACGTAATACTTAGGGCTCTACTGAATAAAATTACACAAGACACGATATGTAATCGAACAATTCACTGCCTAGTCATCCAAAGGGTTTGTTTGTTTGAGGCTATCATAAAGGCAGATGTTGATGAATCAATTAATCTAGCCAATATGCACATGCACTACATGCCTACAATGCTAGTACAAACACTCTGAAAACATGTACAACATGAAGCACTAACCTCGTCAAGTCTGAGTTGCTGTTCTAAGAGTTCCTCAAAAGTCTTGGCAGAGGATGCACCTCCTGGAAAAAATTTAAGGAGAATTTGTTGAGCAAAGAAAGTAAAAAATAAAGCTTCATGTAAAAGGATGACCTGGTGTAGCCTTAAAGTTACTGTCATACATATTACAAAAACTTTTCCAGAGAGTCTTATGACTGGATTCAGCAAATTCAGTAATCAGAGTAGAATTCTGGGCTCAAATTCTAGTGTACATGAACTAAGCAAGCCATAAGCTTAGTTGATATCCATGCTTTTGGTACATTAAGATTTCATTGTGCACCAAAACAATTCTTAGTTGTGCCCTAACAGAAACAATTTCACAAGTTTGTATATACCTATGCCTGGCTTGATGGGTATTTCATCATCTACTTCAGTATTGCTTTTGTCCAAGTTCTGTTCATTCTGACGAGAACAAAATTGACATATGATCTATATTGGTAATTACATGCCTGTACAGTAAATAATCATTTCATGAAAAAGACAAACTGGCATAAATATTCTTCATTGTTATTTGATTTCCTTTATTTCACCTCAGTTCCATTTCTGCATGCTATTTTTTTCTTGTGGGAGTACAGTTATGGGAAAAGGATTATCCAGTTTACTCCAGTCCAGTTAAAGTAAATTAATTTATAGCTTGCAGCATGTGATGTATTGAGCCATATGTAGCAGATATAAACCAGATACTCTTAGGCTCACACAATAAGATGGGTTATTTTAATAACCAACTTCTTCCATCTAGTAGAATGTGTATATCAAAGGTCATCATCCCAGTGAGGAGAATTTGTCCATGCGGGGCTTTCATTAAGTTTTGGTCACCTCTAGCCTTGATCTTTACACCTGAACCATTAGCTTGTTCAGGGGTTTCATTCAGGCCAGGGCACCATGCAAAGTGAGTACATGTTGCTGGGTGGGTGATTTTGCCTTCCTGGTATGAATATCTAGAGGAAAGTTTTTCTTATGATAAAGTTCAGTTTAAAGAATTTTGCCTACCTGTGAAAACCAGTTGCCTTCCTGCTGAAAACATTACTGAAACCCCTGCTTGTTACTTTGTGGGTGAATTGTATTAACAAAAGGTACTATTTCATCCGTAACATCAACTTGGGCCTATCAAGCATCCTCAACCATAGCAGATGTTACAGGTTATGGCCCTTAATGACAGCCCTGCCATAAACATGTATGTTTAGTACATCAGAACCCGAGAAAACTCACCATTCCTTCTACATGCACATCTTCAGGATGAGGTTCTAATTCTATTACTGTTGCATTCCTTTCACTGGTTTCTTCTAATTCTTCCTCAGCTTCTGATTCTTCATCCATTTCTTTTTCCTCGTTTTCTTCATCGCTCTCATTCACACCCACCTCTGGTTCAGAATCATAGAGAGGGTAAACACCACTCATAGCATCAGCTTCAGATTGTTCATCAATCTGAGAATCAGCATCAGCCAGGCCTTTTACCTCAGCATGGTGACTCCACAATCTTTCAAGTTCCTGTTTCATACCTGGACTTTTGTTACACTCAAGAGCCGTGTTAGTCTCCCTGGCATTGACTTCAAAATGGCTTTGACTGTCTCTTCCAGGGTTATACCCCACTCCTCTTAGCTCCTGAGATGAAACTGGAATCTGAGAACTTGAAGGAACTTCAATCATTCCATTATAGTTCATACCTGCATAGGGCATGAGTCTGTTTGAGTTTGCTGAACCAGACACAGGCTGCCCTTGCAAAGGCACAACCTTTGGAGCAGAAGAAAGGGGAATTGTACCCAAGGGAAGGCGATAATTTGATGAGTTCCACATCATTGGATAAACTGTCTTGTTAAAAGAAGCTAAACTTCCTTCAAGCTTTTCTGTGGTTCCATTATACTGCTGAGAACCAAACTGTCTCATTTGGAAATCTGAATCTCCTTGACTCATTACAATAGGTGGTGCAGAAGATGTAGGTATAGATCTAAGTAATACATTTGAATGATGTCCTATAGGTTCATTATTTTCAGCTTCTGCTCTTGTCATCATATTTATTGGCATCTGTGCCCCTGCTTTCTGTTGTGGATGACTCTGTGCAGTGGTTGGACTCATAGTATCAGCCTGACTTGAAGTCTTTACTAAGTTTGGAGAGCGCACTGTCACACTTGAAGTTGTTTGCTGTTCTTGAAGTCTCTTCTGAGCAGCCAAGATGCTCTGGAGTTTATTTTGTTCCATCTTCAACGTTTCCATTTGTTGCTGTTGTTGACGGAACATACTTTCTTGTTGTTGTTGTTGCCACTGGCGCAGTTTCCTAAACTTCTCCAAAAGTTGCACCTGATCATGAGGTTTTTGGATCTGTGGCTGTGCTGCCATGTTCCTGTCCTTTAAAGGTTGCTGAGATTTTGTTACTAACACAAGAGAAGAAAAGACGTGTTTTTACAATAACATTCTCCAGGGCTGTGCTCTAGAAGTACTGGGTGCCACAAGCAACTACCTTTTGTCTTTGGACGACTGAGAAAACTTACTTTTTTCATATAAGGTCAAGTGCTGGGCACCCAAGATTTCATGGTTAGGAACCTTTGGACTCCTTGTAATTTTTCTTAGACCACAGCCTTGGTTTTCTTTAACATTTTATATCAGTCTAACTCAGCTCATATCCAAAATGGAAAAGAGGGTAAAAGAAAATATTGCAATGAAAAAATATTATCGGCCATTACTAATTCATTTATTTAAAGAGCCAGGTCTGAAATCAGGTATGGATTTTAGTATTCAGGTATGACAATGGATATGAAAAATGATGTATTTTAGTCTGAAAATAGGTAAGAATTTGGAAAACCTTGCAACAAACTGACCAACCATCCCCAGGAGTACCCCACCCCCTAAAAGGTCTATGGTTGCCACCCAAGGAAAAAAATACTTGACTTTTCTCAGACCATAACATATTAATCACACAATTTTCACTGATCATAATAAGACTGACCATGAATGCTCTTCTCTCTTAGTGTGCGTTACTTTAAGAAAATCCAAGATTGGATTCTTACATCAGAAAACGGATTTTGCGTTTCTTTTCTAAAGAGATCGGATCATGGTGCGTCAAAGGAACGGAAGAATCCACTTTAGGGAGGGATTCTCTGGTTCCTTTGATGCCCCATGATCTGGGTGATCTTGGATTAATCTGTTAAGAAGAGAAACAAAAAAATCCGTTTTTGGATTTAAGAATCCAATCTTGGATTTTGTTAAAGAAACGCATCCTTAGAGGAACGAAAATCGTGGATATTGACGAGCAGTGTATCAAATATCGATAAGCGCCTCATCGATTTCATCGATAGAATTGATCACGCGAGGCATGCCATTTTACAAATTACATTTGAGCCTACGTTAAGCAAGTTTTGTCTAAGTTTAATCATATGTGAACCTACCTCCTGCCTGAGGAACGTAGTTTAAAATTGCGTTGCCATCCTGCGCATTTCTGTCCTTTCCATCTCTAGTTAGAGATGGGTTGTTCTCCTTTTGATTAATAACACCAACGTCTATCGTTTTAAAACGTTCCATGCTTTACACATTCCCTTGTCTGTAGAGTTCAAGAAGTCGTCCAACATCCCAATACGTCCCTCAGTGCATTCAAGACCATGCAAACACGTGCATATGTTCGCCAGTTGTTCAGCGATTTCGATCGCAAACAAAGTGACCCATCCAGAAGCTAATTCGCATCTTAAAAGTGAATTATTGGACGGCTAATAAGCATTTTTAGCTACGGTAACAATAGTGAATGATCAAAGCGAAACCATTGTAATTTCTACGGAGGAACGCGCCATTTTTCAAAGTTTAGCTGGTCAAGTTATCGCATGCGCACTACAAAATGCGCTGACCATCATCATCGTTGTTTCAGACATGGCGAAGGGTTTGCATTCTCTGAAACTTGAAGAAATTTTGAAGAAGGAGCTCCAAACCACACAATGCCAAGGTTTAGGGTTTGCAGGTGGTGGTTGTATAAGTGAGGGAAAGAGTTTTGACACCGATCACGGCAGGGTTTTCGTCAAAGTGAACGATAAATCAGGGGTATTTATGCCGACGGTGACTTTGTTATCGCTCAGCCAAGGGGAATCTCCTTTTCGATTAATTTTTGTTTGCGCTTGTCTTTCAGGCTATGAAAATGTTTGAGGGCGAATTTAACAGTCTAGAAGCCATTTGTCGAACTAACACTGTGCGAGTACCGAAGCCAATCAAGGTTTGCTTTAATCAAGTCTTATAATTGTTGAAAAATGTAATAACTAGTACAGTCTTAACTGAGGCTTGCTCTCCGATTGTGCGGCTTTTTGTGATTTCAGTAAGTGTGTGTATGAATTTATTCACAGAAATTTAAAAACTTTGTACCATTCCTTTTAATTTCTTGTTACCGATCCACGATAAAATAAAAATTATAATAAATTTCCTATCTGGAGTGCACTTTTTAATTACTAACTGTATTTTGAACACTTTTTAGCTGTTAGACCATCCGTCTGGAAGTGGGGCAATTTTTGTCTTAGAACATCTTGAAATGAAGAGCTTACGGAAATATCAATCACAGCTGGGGACAGCACTTGGAAGGTAAGGAACAATTTGCATTCAGCCAACAGCTACATACACTGTACCAATGAGCTATCCAGCTAGATCTCTGTAAGAACATCAACAAGCAAAAGCAATTGGAAACAATAGGAACTAGTCATTCAATAATGAGTTACAATAATGAGACCAAGTCATGATTGCTTTAGGTTTTGCAGCTGATTAGTTGTGTGCTGAGGTGGTGCTAACTTTTGTTTTCTTTTTCAAACCATGTAAAGTGCTGCATGAGAGAATACTGAAAAACCAATCACATGTATTGATTATGTTTGGCACTTACAGAAGGGTGGCACTTGGCGCTTGTCGTGAGGGTAAACAGGAGTTTCTCACAATAACTTGCTCTGTCCTCTCTGACATGTTCTCTGCAGACTACATAC